GGGCTACTCCATTCCTTCTATGGGATTCTTGCCCACAATAGTAGATATGATAATCATCTGAATTAAATTCACCCATTCCTGTCCATTTTAGTTCACTGACACCCAGGATGTCAATGTTTATTCTTGCCATCTCCTGTTTGACCACCTCCAGCTTCCCAAGGTTCATAGATCTTACATTCCAGATTCCTATGCAGTATTTTTCTTTGCAGCATTGGACTTTCCTTTCACTTCCAGGTGCGTCCTTTCGGCTTTGGCCCAACCACTTCATTAGCTTTGGAGTTACTTGCCTTTGTCCTCCGCTCTTCCTCAGTAGCATGTTGGACACCTTCCAACCTGAGGGGCCCATCCTCCAGTGTCATATCTTTTAGCCTTTTGTTTCTGATCATGGGGTTTTCTTGGCAAAGATACTGGAGTGGCATTGCCAATTCCTACTCCAGGTGGATCGTTAAGTCATGTCTGACTCTTTGTGACCCCATGGCCCAGAGCAAGCCAGGCCCTCCTGTCTTCAAAAGTAAACAGTATCCCTAGTTTAAAAACATCTATCTAATTAAATGCAGCAGGTTAACTACACATTTCATTTCTTCTAACAGAAGATACTACCAACATAACAAGTAAATTTTCTCAGATTTAGGGAGCAACATAGATAGTACTTTTTACACATCCCTATCGCTGTATCTCCATGTAGTTTTCAGCACAATACTCAGCATGTTTAGTTAATAAGTTTCACTGAATTCAGAAAGACTTACTTCTAGCTAAGTATTCACGGAATTGTAGCCTCAGAATGCAAAAGGAAACAGTGGCTATATCAGATCACATCTAGGAAATACTCAAGATGGGCCTCCCTTGAGTTGGAACATACTTGTTGTGTAGTCGTCTTCATGTATTCATGCCAATGACTGGAAATTCAAACCTGTTATATAAGAACATAAATAAATAAAAGTTATGAAAATCAAGTTCTTCCAATCCCCAGCAAATAATCCATTAACATTTCTATTAGAACATCATCTAAATTAGCAATTTTAAAAATACAATCTAACTGAAATAGCATAGTTACTTTAATATCATAATCACTATTAGTGATCTTCAGAAAAATACCTTAACTAAAGAAATGAACCATTCAGTCCTATCTGCAATGCAATGGAAGAGCCATACAGAACTCTGCAGACTCAGTCATTTTTTTCCCCTAAGACATCACACACCTTTTTGCTTTCGACTTTTTCTTAGTGATCATTCTCAATGCCACTGCACTTTTTCAACATAGTGACTAGGCAAGGCACAAAGTTCACTTAGCGAGCAACACAGGACAAACAAGAACAAAGCAAGGGAAGTGTAAAAAGGGGACACTTTTCCTTTCCATTTTTAAAAGAGGGCACCTAGAAAGAAGTTTTGGCTAAAATGTGATGACAAGAACCTACATAAACACACTGTAAGCTATCACATACTTATAGCAACAGGAATATGTCATCAGTAATTTTCTAGGTACCTGAAAGATAACTTTAAAAAATTCAACATCAAGATTTACAGTTTGGCAACTTGTGACAGAAGATGTTGTGTTTTCTACCAAAGTCCTACAATAAAATTATTGGTGACTGCCCATTTAACTGGAAGTAAGGCCCACTGAACACAATGAGACTTAATTCCAAGTAGAGACACAGGACTGCATTATAAAGTTACAATCTTTTACACTCTTCTTCAAGAATAAGCCTCACTGAAAAAAAATCCTGGACAAATTTCTATTATTTATGCACATTATTGCATTATGCACATTATTGATATAAATCAAATAAATAAATAAAATAAAATAAAATTAATTAATTAATTATAAAACATATAACCTGGTTTGTTTTACAAAATTATTTTTATAAATATAAATGTTGGAAGAAATTATGGCTGATGATGGGTTTGTTTCATTCAGACATATGTTTTTGCTTTTGGTCACATTGAAAAGATCTACTGTATAAACCTGGAGCTTTCCAGAAGCACAGATGGCATGAGTCACTTTTGCTATGTCACTTAAACATAGCAGAGCAATATACTAACTCAGGATAAATATTAACAAATTCTGAATCTCCATTTGCCTAAAAACCGATATCCAAAGATGTACCCATACCACCAGTTGTCAAACAACAATTAAACTGAGTTTCTTCTTTTTTAAATGTACACTAATACTGAATACAACTGCAAGCATTATGTTTAAGTTACATTTATGACTAAAAGTGACATAGGGAATAAACCTACATAAACTACTGCCATTGCCTATTAATGATTGTCCACTCAGGGATGAAAACAACAAAATCAAACACTTTTTTTATGATTATGTCCTTTATTTTACATGCACTGCTCCTCATTCCAGAACATACCTCATTTATTACTACCTTCATTAATCCAACAACTTCATTTTAACATCTCTAAACCACCACATCATCATGTGCTGAACAAACAAGCTTCCTCTTGGGCAATCCACACTCCCTTTCTCTCAGCCATGTAAAAAAGGATCAGATGACATTATTCATTATGTTGTCACTCCATATTAGAAAACCCATCTGCTCATCAGTAACAGTGCCCTTTGGTTTAAATGGCACAGGATCAAAAAGCTAGTGTGCATATTAATCATATATGTTCTTATCATCCATATATATATGGCCACTGTAACATCATGCACTTATTCTAAACTTTACACTGCTTCAAATGCAGCAATATTTTAGTATTGTTAACAGCATAAAAAGAGATGCTGCTTAGACTGCGAGCTCAATGAGCAAGCACTATGTTACTTCTACATCAGCTACAATGTAACATATGTTCCTGGGATTAAACAAATTTAATAGTAATATTAAGGACAGTTAGCATTAACATGCTATTCTGTAAAACACTCAAAGTATCATTTCTCAAAATACAACAGAGCTCAGAAAAAACAATACAACAGATTAATCCTTCAACAAGTTTTTAATTTTGCTGTGGCACAATATGCTCTACAAAAATACACCTGAGAGCCAATTTATATTATACATCTATTATTGGCAGAAAAGAGGAAAGATAATAAATGTTTTGACCTGATATCTCTACAGTTCTGGTTTATTATGTATTAACAGGAACTCTTATGGAAAGAAGAGCACCAGATTAGGGAACAAGCACTCTTGCAATCTGATGCACCCCTACGTGATGTGAGTGAGACCTGTTGAACACAATGGAGCTTAGTGAGTAACCAGTTGGACTACCTGGTTCACAGCACAACTTTTTACATTTTAGCTAAAAGCCATTTTCAGAAGAAGCATTCCAGTGGAAATACAGTGCAATGACGAGTAAACAGAGCAATGTTGAAGTCAAGATCCCAGCACCTTGCAGTAACCTGTTCTCCTCCCTGTCATCAGATTGATGGGATGCAATCAAGAAAGATGCAGAACACTGTAGTGCACAGTAGCAATTTATTTGGAAGTATGTCCCACATAATGTACTTCTAAATATTGTGAAACTAAGAATCCTGCAGCCTTCAGATAATAATAATAATAATAATAATAGAGATGGGGGTATTCGTATACGAATAATCCTTCACAGTAGGAAATAACGAGGGTCCGGCCCCATGACTGTCCACTCACCATTTCGCCGCTGACATGAGCTCAACGGAGCCTTCCTATCGCATCATTGTCTGCAACAGATTAGCCACTCCTGGCAGGAGGCGGGATGACAAGCCTTTCTGCCAGGTCATAGAGTGGCTAATCCATTGCGGACAACAGCGCAATAGGAAGGCTCCATCGAGCTCGCGTCAGTGATGAAATGGTGAGTGGACAGCTACGGGGACAGACCCTCGTTATTTCCACCTGTGGGGGGGATATACGTATTCATATACAAATACTCCCATCTCTAATAATAACCATGTGTCATCAAAGCAATTCTGACTTGTGGCAACTCTTGTTGCTTTCCAGGTAGAGAATACTCAGAAGTGGTGTACTATTCTGGTTCTTCTGGAGTTACCCTGGGACTGTGCAGCTTGCCCGAGGCCACACAGGTTGGCTCTATCTCACAAGAATCACAGTGGAGAATTGATCTTCCAACCTCTGGCTCTGCAGTTAGAAACCTAAACCGCTGAGCTATCTGAACAGGGCACTAACTATTGGCACTCTTATTTATGCTTTATGCTCCTTCTCTCAGTTACCAGTTTCCATTAAAAAAAAAAAAGACAAGTCAACCTCCGTTACTAATGCTGGATGCATTAGAACAAGCAGCTTGTATTCTACTCTATTTTCATAAGAAATAAACTTCCTCCTGCCTTCCAGTGATCGGGCCAACAAGTGAAAGGATAACTGGATACCATGGCATAACAATTACAATGCAGATCAAGGTGTATCTACTACAGCATCCAATTTCCAAATATTCTAACTAAATCCCTGTGGGAAGCCCACAACCAGACCATAGGACAACATCTCTCTCCTGTTGCTGTTCCCCAGCCATTGACATCTTTATTAAGGAAAGGTGACCATTTCAAGCAACAGATGTTGAGTGTTACAAAACAGGGCAGCAAATTTTTTTTTATCTGACAGTTATTTCACTCTACATGGGGCTGCCTTTGAGGTTGATGCGGAAACTTCAGATGGTCCAGAATGCATCAGCATTCTCAGTGAGGTGAGAACATAGCAGCACATCTCCCCCACTCTGGCTGCACTGCAGTGGTTGCCTATTTGTTTCCGCATCGACTTCAAAGTGTTAATGATTACATATAAAGCCCTAAACGGTTTGGGACCTCAATATTTGGCAGATGGCCTTCTCCTGCTCAGATCTACCCAAGTCACCCAACATAGCCAGCGGGAACGGCTGAGGGGACTGACGCCGAGGGAGGCCCGGAAGGAAAAAACTAGAAACCGGGCCTTCTCGGCGGTCGCCCCTCGGCTGTGGAACTCCCTCCCTACTGAAATTCGGCTGGCACCCTCACTGGGTATTTTCAAAAGCCAATTAAAAATGTGGTTATTTAAACAGGCCTTCCCCCCAGTCAATTAAGTGATTTTTTTTCTTTTCTTTTTTTCTTCTTTTTGAGTCTTGCCATCTTGGAAACGTGCTGGTTAGAATTAATTGTAATAATTGTATTATATGTGTTTATTTTAATGTGTTTTAACCTATGTAAGCCGCCCCGAGTAGACGTTGTCTAGAAGGGCGGGGGAAAATCAATCAATCAATCAATCAATCAATCAATCAATCAATCAAATAAATAAATAAA